ACTCTCTTTGTCTTTGCACCTGCAGCAGAGTCGAGAGTCCTTCACGGTGGAGCAGTGTGTGAAGATCCTGCGGAAGGTCCAGGACCGTATTCTCATCATTTTGTGAGTGAGGCACAAGCCAAACCAACCCCTGCTGCCTCCCTGCAGCCCTGGGTGGAGGGAAGGAAGGTTAGACGGGAGTCCTCCGCTACTCCCTCCTCTGCAGCGGCCACCCAGGCCTTCAGGCCAGTTGGCACAACAGTACAGCCTCACATGTGAGAAGCATTTCCTCGTTCCCCATCCCTGCCCTGGGCTGGGCAGGCTCCTGGAGCAGGCAAAGAGCAGCTGGAACGTCCTCCCCCTGGCGTGGCGCTGTGCTTTCAGGCTGGGCCTCCCTGGTGCAATGCTGACCGAGGAAGTGCGAGTCCTGCCCAGTACTCCCCATGCTCCCACCTTCAAGTTTCCATCCCGTGGCTTTCCATCCCGTGGCCCTGCAGCAAGGGGCCATCCTGGCAAACACGCAACCCTCCGCCGCACCGCTCCCGCTTGCTTTCCTCCTTGGCCTGGCTCTTCTCCCCCAGTCACAGCAACCCGGCCTGCCCCCTTCTCCAGCCCCTGAAACCTCTTGCCTGAGCAAACAGGTGAAACCACAGCAGCCTCCACCCCCTCCAGTTGGTCCTGGAGCCCCTGGCCTGACCCAGCTCCTGCAAGCTCTCCCCTGGGTGCCCGGGGCAGGGAGAAGCTGTGGGAGGTAGCCGGTACCTTGCGCAGAGCCCCACAAGCTGTTAAGCTGTCTGGGTGGCTGGCTGGTTCTGTCAGTCCTCCTCTGCATTTTTCCCAAGTCCTTGGAGGGCAAGATGTGCAGGGCTCTGGCTACCTTGGCCCGTGCGGTGCTGTTAAAAGACCCTCTGGGAAATGAGAGGAAGTGCTAGAAGTCGAGAAATGAGGTGCAGTTTTGGTTTCCCTGGTCTGTTGAAATCATAAGAGCTTAAGGATTTTCCTGCTTGTCCAGAAATGCAACATCATAGTGAGGAGAGGTCCTCTAGGCCGTACGGAATACGTGCCTTTGAGCCTGGGATGTCCTCTTGTCCCATCACCTGCAGCACTGTAGGAGACAGCATGATCTTGGCTCTGCAGGAGGTCTGATGCTGTCTTCTCCAGGAGGACTGCCCTGGTACCTCCCTCTCCAAGCAGGGCACACCCTGTTTAAAACAGCAGCACGGAGGGGGGGGGAAGGACAGAGGGAAGATGCAGAAGCTCTATGGAAGGAAAAAGTTAAGAGCAAAAGACGGGGTGAGGATGGGGAATGATGTGCTCAGACCAGTTAAGGAGCCAGCCCTGGGGGGACAATATTTAACCACTCTCCACACTGACTACTAGGCACTCACCCAAGGTTTTAAACAGATAGCTTGGTAGAAAACAGCTGCTCCTCCGACTGCCATGTATGACCCTGTAACCCTACTTTCTACAAGCAGCCTGGAAAGACCAGTTGGGTCAGTTGCTCCACTGTCTCGGGGACACCGCTTCTGCCTGGGACAGCAGCAAAGACAAAGGGAGGGACACTGTGGGCTGTACTGAGCCTTGCTGTTCCTTTTCAGAGCACAAGATGGACTCTTAGTACTGGAGAAGATAGACAGCTACAATCACTTTATGAAACTCCTACGGCAGGAGTTGGAGTCTACCCTCAAAGAGGTGAGAGCAAACTCCATCCTTGCATCTCTACCCTACGTGCCACCAACCTGGGAGCAGCAGCGAGGCAGCAGCTCACCTTGGTGGACACCCTCCACTAGGTGGTTTGTCCTGAAGGGCACAGCCCTCACAGGGGGGGTGGGGGAGCCAGCTTTGCCCCCAAGTTAGTACTGCCCTCTGGACCCGGCTCTTCCCTGGTCCTCCCATCCCTGTCCTGCCTCACTTGCGCCCCACCCCTCCGAGTGCCACACAGCCAGCACAGCTTGCCTGAGGGAACACTTTCCTGGTTGACATCATCTTGTGTCCTTTCCCTCCAGCAGATCCAGCTAGTAGAGGTGCCTGGGAGTCATTTTGTGCACCTGAACGAGCCCGAGGTGGTGTCTGGGATCATCGGCAACTTCCTGACGGCACAGAACACCAGAGCCCGGCTCTAGGAAGCCCTCACTGCCACAGCACTCCAGGAGAACAGGGAGCTAAAAACAGCAGGCTCTGGAGGAATTGTCACCATTCCTACCTTGCATCCAACATCAGTTTCATGATACTCCTTCCTAAGCTTAGCTCAGTGCAGGGTGGAAGCAGCAGATCTGCCAGGGCTTGCCTAGAGGAGAGCTGAGCAAAGTACCTCAGTTGTCAAAGGGAAAAGGAATCCTTTCTCCACTTCCAGCTCTGTTGAGTACAGGGATAGAAGCCCAGAGTGGCGCTCCCCTTGCCTACTCCTGACTTGCACCCTGGAGTGTGAGCAGGAATACAGGCAGAAGCATCCTCTGTGGGAGCAGCAGCACCAGCTGCAGCATTGCAAGAGACACTGGGCTCATCTTACCTCCTCCCTGAGGATGGTGTGACCAGTCTCCTCCCAGGATTAGACCTACTGAAAAAACAGTGCCTGCTCACTTCTGTGGGTGCCTGAGCTCAGAAAGCCTCAGTGTCTCTGTTCTACTGTGAAAGCTGCTGCTTTTTTTCAAAATCAGCTTAAATAAAAGCTCACCTGGGCACAGAAGACAATTTTAATGAACTCCTAGGGAATGAGTCACTAATCCTTTAGCTAAAGCAGCTGGGAGAACTACTAATAATGGAAAAGTTGGCAAAGGTGACTTCTGGCCTTCCAAATAAAGATTAATCTCCCAATGTTAACTCTGTCTTCTTGACTCTGTAGGAGAGTGAACCTCCCTTCTTTTGGGATGCTCACCCAAGCAGCTAAAATGCCTCTTTAGATTTTTGCATGTGTCTGCTTTAGATGGAGCTTGTTAAGGATCCATCTGCCTCCTGGTTAAATTGATGGAGAAAGCCAGCTGAAGCATGCAGGCCTGGCAGTCTCCCTATGCAATGGAAACTGTGTTTGCAGTGGGTTTTCTAGGGGAGGGTAAATGCGTTTTAACCAGCTCTGTGGAACTTGCCAGCATTTCCACCTTCCATTCACGGTCACACCTGTATCGAGGCTGCAGGCAGTAAAAGAAATGCGTAAAAGCCTGGGGGTTGGGTGGGTTACACCCCCTTTCTGATCACAGGTTGTGCTGGGGTGAACAATCAGCAAGTCCGAAGCTGCACAAATGTTATGTGGGCAGCACAAAAGCATTGTCCCGCAGCTGGATGTGCCCGTCACCGTCCTTACCTGCCCCCTGTGGGCTGGTGACAGCTTAAGACTGGTTTGTCCCTCCAAAGCCAGGCTGCCACCTTACTTTGTTCCAGAAGTTCCCATAGCCCAGGCTAGCCATGGCTGTAGAAGCCCACACGCAGCTGGAAGACTGGGCACCTCAGCACTGGCTGAGAGGGAGCTGCCTGGGAGGGAAATACCAAGGGAAGGGGTAGGGCTCTGTACCAAACCACTGATCTTTCCTTATCACAACGGGTCTGGGAACTTCCCAGTTGGGCTTTTCCCAAGGTCACTTCCCTCCTCTTCTTACTCACCCTCAGATAACACGTGCAAAGGAGCACCAGCATACAAGCCACGACTTTTATTGCCCCCCAGCACACAAGAAGCTGTCCCCCACAGCAGACCAAGGGGGAGAGGCATTCCCATGTTTTGAGAACGTAGCAGCAGTTTATTTACAGTTCTTCAGCCATTGCCTGCCCCTGCAGAGGCTGTGCCAGGTCAATCCCAGCTCTCACCACCCGAGCACCCTGGAAGTGGTGCCACAGGGCGGCACGATGGCCGGGAGAGGAGGAGGACAGAGGTGCGAGCAAAGGAAAACGCCTCCTCCAGCGGCAGCTGCTGGGATCTCCCATTTCAGATCCAAGGACAGGGACAACCTGAGGCTGCCTCAATTCCTCAGAATCCTTTGGCACGTGGAGTCCACAGGCATCTCTCCCGCCCTCTCCAGCACAGGCACCTGAGGAATAGCTTAGTACGGCCGAAACTTGCGCTGGGCTCGCATCAGCGCGATTCTCTGCTTATCCTCCTCAAATTTCTTCCTCAACTGGGCAATGTCTGAAACAGGGAGAAAAAAGCCAGGTCAGAGAGGAGCAGCAGATCTCCCTCTGCTGAGGAGCTTCACTCCCACACACCAGGAGGGACTCAGCCCCGACACCCGCAAACACACACTTCCCAGAGCAGGTCCTTTTGTGCCCCAGTGCCAAGCTGCGGCTCTGGCCGTTCATCTCCGGCAGTGCTGCAGCTCCCTCTTGGGGAGGAAAGGGGCTACTTTTCCCTCGCAATTGCTGCCTTTGTGCAGACTGAAGAAACGCCTATTTGAAAACCACGACCTGCGCGCTCTCCCGCAAAATATTCCAGCAGCCCTTGTTGCTAGGACAGGTGGTGACAAGGGGCCCCCAAGGGCTGGCGAGGCCATTCGCGCCACCAGCCGGCCAACTGTTCACCTGCGGCTGGACTAGCCTCTACCGAAGGAAAAAAAGACGCTCTTTGGGCCACAGCGTAAGAGACAAGACAGGCGGGCAGGGGTAGGAGGAGACTCGGACACTCACGCTCTCTCTTGGTCTCGCGATGCTGCCAGGCATAGAAGTTGAGAAGCTCTTTGCGGGCCCGTTTCTGTTTCTCCCTCTCCAGCACCCGCAGGTTGGCAGCCTCTGTCCGGGGCAGGCCAGGCTTCCGGCCCTTTCGCGTTACCTTCACCCAGCCCTCCTCATCCGGAACACCCTCCTCCTTGGCCGCTTTGGCTTCTTCCTGTAAAGACAGGAGGGCGAAGCAGTTCAGTGCAGATGGGGTGCCAGCCAGCCTGATCCATGGCTCCCCCACAGCCCCCCCTTAAACACGTGCAAAACTACAGCTCCTGCTCCTGGACAAGAGGTGAAGGAAGGCGTGGGACCAACGACGCAGGCGCTCAGCTCGCAGTCACAACACTGCACGCCAGCCAGGACCCAGGATTTATCTGTGGATACTTACCGTAAGCCCTAGGTGGAAGGGTCAGGCGTTGTGGACCAAACCAGGACCTGGCTGCCCACCAGCAACTGGGAGCAAAACAATCCTGCCAAACAGGGTGTTTCCCTCTGCCCTTTCCACTTGAGGCTGGGGCACTGACAGATCTTCTCTCTTCCTTTCCTCTCCCCAAACAAACTGCTTAGCTGGGTTCCCTCCCCAGCCTGGCCTCACCTCTGCTATCTTTTTGTCGTAGTCTTGCATGTAGGCATCCACCTCAGCCTTCAGCTCCTCCGGATCCACGACGGAGGCCGCATAGCTGGCGATCCACTCTGAGACAGAGAGGGCAGAAGTCAGCAATAGCCTCTGTTAGAAGCAAGCCCTAGTGTGACACCTTCAGGCAGCTCTAGAGAGAACCGCTGTGGGGAAGGACACGCTCTGTTCCCATTCCTGTTCAGCCTCCCCACTGCCACAGCCCAACCAACTTGCAAGCCAGGCCCCAGCGAGTAAGCAATGGTAAGAACTTGCAACTTTCCCAGGCAGAAGTGGGCTAGCCTTGAGCCCAAGAGATGCAACATTTAGGGCTGCCTTCCTGTCAAGGGGTCAGATCTGAAGTGCTGTCATCTGAACAGACACCTGGTGCCTGTTATTGAATCTGGATTCCATTTTAAGGGCAAGACACAGCCAGTTTTTCCAAATCTACGTGATACTGAAAAGATATCAGGAAAAACTGTACGAAGTGATCCCATTCCCCCATTGGGTAACTGGACCAGACTACAACGCCTGGTACAACAAGATTGCTACCTTATTATTAATAAAAGCAGGACAAGAAAACACAGGATGTCTCCTGGCTCAGTACAGAATGGTGAGAATTAGTCTGGGACATGCAGGGTAGGATTCAGCAAGGAATGAGTACAGCTCTTCCTAGCTAGCAGGAAGATAGCTAGGGCTGACTTACTGCTAACGCCGGTTTTCACGGGGTGACTCTCTGTTGATATCAGCAAGGGACCTTCCCGTGACAGGGCCTTGGCTGCCTGGACTCCAGCTGGTTTCCTGAACACCACGTATGCTACTCGAAATCCCTAAAAGAAAAAGACACCTAGGCCTGTCAGATGCTTAGGGGACACTGGTGATGCAGCAAGGAGCTGCAGCACAAAAAAAATCAAAATCAAACCACAAGTTGCAATAGGACAGCAAATAAGATAATGTAAACTTAAATAAGTAATCACATCACCTGATAACCCCAAATGGTTTCCCATACCTCATGTTCCAAGTAGTGCCACTCAGCGCTTACGATCTTTTCCACCCTGACCACTACAGCACCGGTGTTCCCCCCTCCCCGCCCCGAGCTTTACCGTTACAGTTTTGCGGTTGAAGAATTTGGACGTCAGTTTTTCTTTCTTCTCTCCCGGCTCTGGCTTGTCACAGATGTCCACAGACTGGACAGACCCACAGCGGGTGAACAGCCTGGACAGGGAGTCCTTGACGCGGGGAGTAAGAGAGAAGCAGCGGTACAGAACAGCCGGAGCGGTTCTCTCCGGCGCCACCCC